AAGAGGGATATATATATCTCAGCAGTATAAGACATATATACAACAATGATTTATGCAATTCAGAGGAACAAGGATGATAGCAATTGATAGGCCAAAGAGAAAAAATCTATTTATTAAAAACCTGTGTGAGACACATTCAAATAAAACTTCAAATAAAATCAACCGTACTTGATTTTATTTATCTTTATGTATATAATACAGCAAATGTCCTCCAAGATATCTTATAGTTAATTTATGTCCCCAGTAAAATTAAGGCAAGTTTATCTCATGAACTTTTTACTTACTTTACATGGAAATAATGCAAAATTATGATTTCACGTGTTTTCAACTGGGGCTGACAAGAAGGTTATGTAAAATCTAACACTATAAAGCAAAGCTAAGTGTTGCAAAACAGCAGACCAGGCACTTAAAGATGGAAAACATCAGCACAAATTCCTGAAAAATGAAACTTCCAAGATTTCAAAAATTAGTAGAACAGCAAAATTAATTCATATTCAGCACAACCCCATGTATATGTAAGGATATTTTGGTATAATGTAATACATACTGAGAATCTAGGATGGATTTTTGTGTCACTGGCTGTATTTCTCCTGTACTGGTCAGCACAAAACCAGGACGCTGCTCAGGCATTGATCAGTGGGTTACTATTTAAAGGAAATTCAAGGATACCCTAACTAAACTTATATGTTTAATAAAATAGTAAAGAAGTGCTGTTGAATTTGCAGATTCCTTCTGTTATTTATATGAGAATACACTATTCATGATATGCCTAACTGTAAGAAGGCAATTTTGAGAGTCTCTGACAGGTATGAGGCTCAGAATGCAGAAGGCTATTACGTCCCAAATCTTAGAAAGCGCAGATGGAAACTGCTTAAGACCCAAGGTGGTTAACCATGCAAGATACTCCTACAAATAGGAGCTGCTAAAATTGTAGTGCCCGAGGCAGCTGCTTAGTTTACAATTCAGTGTTTCATCCAGTTGTGAGAAAATGAACGGGCAAAATTATTCAACCAGTGTTTGCTTTTCTCTGCTTGTCTCCCAAAATCCCATGTATCTTTACACAAATTTTATCTGATCAATATCTTAGTGAAAGCCAGGGACTGTAGTCATTCAGGCATGAGATGAGTAACTACTTTTTTGATCAGTTAGGGTTCACTAGAATTTATAACTTCTGATGGCTTTATTTTATACTTAGATGCTCTAAAACTTTCATTAACAGAACAAAATTGATGTTTACCTGTGTGGTCCATACACTGTGAACCACAAAATATGTTTCAGCATTTCTGACAGAGATATTTTTATTGTTTTAAACATTAAGGTCACAATTATTTATCAGAATTTTTTCTCTCTGTATTCCTAACATTTAAGAAAACCATGAATTTGAATAAAACACAGTTTCAAACACCTTAGTGGCATGAACTACTCTTTCATGCCGTGGCACAAAAACTTATCTCATAATCACATGCCTTTGGCAGTATGGCATTTGTTTACAGGAGAAAGCTGAGTATTTCATGGACATTTGCTCTTTTGGATGTGTGTTAGTAGCAGGAAGTAAAAGAAAAATAATAAGTATTTACATTTCACAGGAAGAATTTAACTGGATCCCAGTGGCTGATAGGTGAAACTCTGAGAATGTCTGACACACACATCAAGTAGAGTTTAATTAATAATGTAGAAACAAAATACGCATACATTATACTCCGCTACTTCTTCTGAGTTACTGTTTTTGAGGGTTACATAATTGCAGTCCAGCTTTACCCAGTGTTGTTGACGTGCAATAAAATTTATTTTAGCTGTCCTTATGTTATTAGAAAATAATGCTTGAAATGGATACATAATGCGTAATCAATTTATCAAATCCACAGCCTGATAGACAGGTTTTAACTTACATTACTTTGCTCACAGTTCCAGTGATTCAAGTACACTAAAAACACATCTGCATGAAAAGTCTGAATCTGGATACTCTGAATTTTCAAGATATTTGAATTTTCAAGATATTTTAACTTGGATTTTGATGTGTACCTTGCCTTTGACATAAGTTTAAAATGGTGGAACTGAGTCTCTGATTTAAGCACCCTATGACTTTCAGATTTGAACTCAAAATGGAAATTTCTGAATATTTTTGGTCACATCTTCTTTGAAGAGGAAAAACAAAGTAATATAATATGAACAAATAGAACAAAAAAAGAAAAAAAGTCTAAAAAAGCTGCTTTCAGTTTTGCTATGTCCTCATTCTTCATTGGCAGCTTTCACTCTTTCAAAAGCTTAAGAAACACTTGGGTTCATGAAAAAACAAATACAATTATTTTTCACATGTCTGGGAAAAAAACCAACCTGAATATACTTAAACTGCAATTTTATTTCATAAAGCATCACTGAAAAGATGAGAGCACACCTGATAGCCGTACATGTCACTCTATGTTGCAATTTTATTTGGGCTGATATATTACTGAAAATTTATCCACTTGGGTTAGACAGCATTTTGGAAATTATTAAACCAAATTAGGATATCCTAACTGGTTCCCAAAACCTCACAGAGGACACTGTCTATGACAATTTTTTCCAACAAACCTAATAGCCTCTTTCTTCACATTGAAGCTGAAATTGTTTTAGTTGTTATTTTGCCTAAATCTTTTCTCATGTGTTCCGAATTGCTTTAGCCTGCATTTACTGCTTGTACTCTAACCTAAATCCCCCGCAAGATAAAGAAAAACAGACTTGCTCTTTAGAGAAGAACATGTACATAGAACAATTGGAGGGAGGTCATGGTTTATGTAGAAACTGAACACTATAAATTAAAAGATTATCATGAGTTTGTATCATATATTACCCCCTAATTTGGGGATCTACAGATTGTCATATTGAAAAAGCAAAAAAACCCCAAAATCAAAGAAACTTTTCCCTGCAAATATTTCCCACTGTGAAATATTTTATCAAACTTATTTTATATCATACTGTTTCTCCTCCACACATTACAGCTTTTGAATTCAAAAATTGCAACACTATTAATTGTTAAAAAACTCTATTAAAAAATATCCATGAGATTCTTCTGAGATGTATTATACATATTTTGTGCAAAGGAAATGTATCTCCAAAGACCTCTTGAGCCATGTATTTCCCTAATTCAATCAAAAAAACCCTCATTTCAATGGACTAAAACAAGTGAAAATAATTGAATACATTAGGAAATGATCTAGCATTAATAAAGGTTGTAACTAAGTTCTGCTAACCTTATTAGGGAAAGAAAATCCTTTATAATAATCTGTCAAATTACAAATTTTACACATTATATAAAGAGAGAACAAATCCATGCTGTAACAAAACCAAAAATTACTTCAACCCTGGAGTTCAAGTTCATAAATACTACCTGTGTGAGAACAAGCCCCAGAAAGAAGTCACAGTCAATTTGCTTGTGTGTTTGCTTGTTCCTAATGCAGAGCAAGTGTTTTGAGATGCTCAGAAGAATGCTGCAGTGTACTTGAATATTACTCAAGTAATAATGCAGGTAGCATTATCAGATGGGCAAGAGATAAGTAGGCTTACCATACCTGTGTTCTTCCAGTAGGAACTAAGCTCAGAATTCCCTTGGACTTCTTTGAAACATCTCAGTAATGTCTTTGAGATGTTTCCATTTAAAAGTTAATATTCATTTAGAAATTCAGTTCACATGTGGATAATTGAAATATCACTGTTACTTAGAAGGTTTTGTGTATGTGACAGAGGACTAAGAGAGCTTCATGGCAACTGCTATGTATGCAACATCTCACATCACGTATTTACTAAAGTAAGCAGTGTTCATCGAAAATCTGGAATTTAGTTTAATCCCTATTTCTGAAGGGAAAAATTTACTAAAGACAGGAACAGAAACACTTCTTGCTACACTTATAACCATAGATAGCAGATATAAAGAAACTGTGTTACTGATAAATATCTGCAAGGTTTAAAAAATGCACTTTCCTGGAGTTCTTTTTGCTTTCATTGTGTATAGTCTTGATGAGGAGACAAATATGCTTTTTGGGGCTGCAGTGAAATTCATCATCCTACTTAATAATACATTTTTTACAAAAATAACTTATACATGATCAATAGATTTTTTTTTTAAAATAGCTATTTATTACAAGTCCAAGACTGCTTATAACACCATTATTACTTCACTGTAGAACTGATGCCTGTAACTATCAATAACATTAATACTTTCCAAATATACAACACAGATATAAAATCTATTGATTATGCATTAATCTGTTATAATTGGAACTCCTATTTATAGTGCAACCAAATTAAATTTATAGTTTTCACCTCATGTAATATGTTTCAAATTTGGAATGTGATATAGGGAGTTATCAAACCCTGAGACTTGGTATGTAAGACATCTAAATACTTATACTCTTGGTGTGCGAACTTTTCAGTTTAATTAGTCTAGCCCTGAATGTTTTTTTTCTGCTAACATGCTTAAATATATAGTCACATGTTTAGAAATAATGATATGTACCATTGTTTTCATAGCTTTATTTAAAAAAAAAAAAAATCTGGGAAAATCTAGTTTCTCAAAAAAAATAATCCAAACACTTTTGCAATCTGTTTCCCCCTTGTAAATAGCACAGCCATTTGCCAGGATCTCCTCCAGTTTACAAGAAAACACTCTTTAGCCACTAGATGATTTTGTTGTAAGTAATCAATGATGTGATGTTGGAAATGATTTTGTAAAGAACACTCTGAGATGGAAGGTGTTTGGGTTTGTCCCTCTTAGTATATGGTTTCACTGGGTAACATTGTTTAAAAAGACAGATGAGAAAGAAAAGCAAAGCAAAACAAAAACCCTCCCTGGGACTGAAATACTCTGTATGTGTTGTTATTTGCAGTGCATGCCAAGACATTCATGGGCACCAGAGCCAACCTGGCGAGCTAATTAAATATATAAATGTATGTGTTTAAAACAGCCTTATAAGGAGCATTGGAAATCTGCAAGATGAGCGAATATCTTATAACTTCTTCCGCAGGTGCGAGGATAGCTACAAGCCATGGACTTTCTGTCCTGCTTCTTGTTTGTGGCTTTGTGAAGGGTGCTTTGCTTTAATCTAAAAGTGCTGACTTTTTCCAATATCACTTTCTCTTCTTAAAGCAAAGAGCAAATCGCCTGTAAAATCCACGGAGCGGACAGCAAAGTTGACCCTAACCTCCAACCACCACTCTGCACCCAATGTACTCTAAATCTCTACACAAGGAGCACCTTCTTCAGGAAGTACAAACAAAATTACTAAATAAAATAAATAAAATAAAATAAAATAAATATTATAAAAAAAAGAAGAGGATACCACATGTTTTCTTGATATATCTTATTTTCTTTGGCGTATCACTGATATTTTATTTGAAGAGAACTGGTGTGATGTAATCAAACATTTTGTAACAGCAAGACATAGTTTCCTTTTCTTTCGGCAAGGAGAAGCCTCATCCTTGACTTCTCAGGGGTTGGCCTGCGAGTCATCAGTATTACAGAATTAACCATGGATGACATTTGGTTTCCTACACTGAAAGAACCATTCCAGCCTGGAAGCAAAAAGAGGCCAAATAATGAAACAAACCATAGTGATTTAACATCGACCCAAATAAAATACATGCAAACTTTTTCAAAAAGCCTTTTTTTTTCTTTTTTTTTTTTTTTTTGTCATGAGAAATAGGGAGGAGAAAATTAATTCCACAAAGCAGCTCAGCAGACTAGAGGATGTTGTTTCTGGAAAACAAATGAGGGTATTTTTCTTTTGAGTTTTTTTTCTCTTTTTCTTTTTTCTCTTTTTAATATATTATTCTTTTTCCCCTGTGAGGTTTTTTTCCTGTCTTTTTGTTTGCTTCTTGTTCAATGGTGGCAATTACAGACTTAGGCCAACCCCTGATGATTGTGTGGAGGTTTATATATATACATCTTTTTTTTGTGTGTGTGCGTTCTATATTTCAGTGTGTTTTCTCTAATTTTGCAACTACTGTATATGCAAAACTAACTTAAATTCTGTAAATTGCTTACAGTCTGTGTGATATAACTTCAGAGTAGACATACTTTGGTCCTCATGCAAGCCAGTTTTTAATATTATCTATATGTCGTGCCACCGAGAGACATTTTAATTTCTTTTTTTGACTAAACATCACTTTTACTTTGTAATTCAGTAATGTGTGGATTTTGTAATACATATTCTTCACTTTGACTGGTTTGACTTCCTTCAGCCCTCTGTTTACTCTGTAAATGCACATTAAAATTTGTTATGGTCTCTAGACAACAAATTATTTTAGTTTGTATGTTGTGTTGGAGTTCAGATGCTGAAAGCTCTTTTAACTTGTGATGTTTATAGAAGACGAAGTGATTCAATTACTAGAGACTGTAAAATGCTGGTTTGCAGTCAAATACTGCATGTAAGGGAACGTTAGAAACAGAAAACAGTCAAATAAACCAGAACATGACTTTAAGGAGGTTCTTTTGGTAAAGAGTTATAGGAAAGTGAATTTATTACACTGATAAACTATATTCTCATCACGGTTCGTCTACATGGCCAAAGAAGCGTTTTTCTTTGCTTTTTCTGGAAGTGGATTTTCATTGCTCATTGATATTCTTAATTAAAATATTTTTTGTCTGTGAAATGAACATGAAAATTTTGCTGTTGAATGATGTAATATGCGTTACATGAATTACATTCATTAATGCAGGAAGGAAAAATTGCTACCATTTGCAGCTGCAATCAGGAAGGTTTTTTTCTTGTTCCCTCTTTCCACTGATGCTGAAAAATTCACACCCTTTCATTTATCAGCACAGACAATCACATATACCACATGCTTATTATGATCTATTTACAGCAGCATTAAGTAGTTGCAGTGTGGTCAGATGTGTGATTTCTCCTCACTTTGTAAGCAATGTAGAAGGAAGCAAAAAACTATGTTTAATATCTCACCAGTCTGTGGTCAACAAGCCTAGCATTTTATCTCAAAACTCTCATAAGTCTGAAGTCTTCCTCCATTACTTTCAAGGGATAAATACCAATTAGGGGCATAGAATCAACACTTTGGAACACTGATGGTTTGAAAAAGGATAATGTATTTGTGCAGATCTAATTTCCCATACATTCTGTACTATAAACTTAATTGGGAATAGTCAGTCTTTCTTTGATTTTAGTCTAAGCAGTAATAAAGAGAAAAGACATTTGGTGTAATACAGACAAATCAGGAATAACTGTCAGAGAAAAAGGAAAAAAATTCTTCTATATTCACATAAAATTTATGACCCACTTGGAATATTGTATATTGAAAAAGTTTTGCTCCATAGTAATAACAGCCTACTGATAGAAAGATTAAAAACAGTCCCCATTTAAATGTTCTTAATCAAAACCAATATTGTGGATCAGAGAGGATGTAAAGGAAAGAAAAAGTCAAGAGTCAGATCTTTTTGAAGTCTCACTTTCTGGACACACCTATGGAACCAAACTTTCAGAACTCTGGAGAGAAATCTACATTTTCACCATGAAATGGATGTCTGTGACTGGATGATATGAGAACCTCCTGCCTGGAGCTAGGAAACTTCAGTTTCCATTGGTCTTAACTGGAACCAAATGCTTAATGTCATGTTTTTTTGTTGGTTTACTGTATCCATATAACTTGTATGACTATTCCATGTATGCACAGTCATATAAACTACCCAGAGTGACATATGGCATTTTGCAGAGCACTTTAGCCTCACAATGTTAAAAGTTGTTACTATGTTAAACTGATATTGTGTTTTGCTTTATGCTGTTAGCTGCTTGGATATAAATCACCATGTACTAGGAATTCAGATTAAAGAACCAGCTGAAATTAAAAGCAGAATTCTAGACCACTTGGCCTAGTGTGATGCAAGTCAGGAGACATTATCAAAAAAAGTGCCATATTGTGATCTGCTATTGTTCAACAGTATCAGCAGAAAAAGGCCCAAAAAAATCTGTAGGACTTTTGAAAAACCTTTAAATCTTGCATGAGATGTGAAGGGGATACAATAACTGTCCTCTTTCCTCCCTCCACAGGATAACATGCCCAAATTCTTCAGATGAGGCTGATCCAGCCTTTCTGGTTGCAGATCTAGAGCACAACTTTAGAGTTTCTGCCAATCTGTGTGGATGCAGAAGCAACATCTCCTAACAGGAGAAAGTATTGCATTTCTAAATTCTATGTTTTGTCTTAACATCTTAACAGCCATTCTTCAGATTGAGAATTTTCCTGAAGCTCCTAGAAATTCTCATAATGGAAGTTAAGCTTCAATAGCCCCCCTTTGTTCTAAGAATTGAGTTATGAATAATATTTGGTATAGAAATGCAACTATTGCCAATTTCTGTCTGGTACAGTTCTAGTTTGGCTTTAATACCAATAGATAAAAAAAATTAGCTTAATTATATCCTTTAAAGCTCCTTATTGTTTTAGGTATCTGAAAGGTCAATTTACATCTAGAAGTGGTAAAATCTCTCAACCTTTCTACAAAAACAGTCCAGTTTTGAGATGGTCATTTACATGACTCATGCTTCTCACTTTGTGTCCCAAAGGCCTCATTGTATATGTGACTTTCTTCGAATCATTCCAACAGTTTCTGTTTTTAATGAAAGAATAAGCATGGGTAAGTATGAAACACTTTTGTATTTCAAGGTATATGCCATCTACATTCACGCACTTTGAGATCTGGTGTATCATCAGGCTAAAAGAAACATATTCCAGTCCCATTAAATGTCAATGATAGTTTTTGTATTAAATGAAAAAAAGATCTGTGGCATTTTTGTACTACTACTCAATGATTAGTACTGCAACAGAGCCTGTCTAAAAAAGTCTCCTTTTCTATGGTTACCCATATTCCTTCAAGCTCTAGAATTTCATGCATACAAGTTGTTGTGTAACATGTTTGAACTTTCCTTTCTTAGTTGCCTTTTGTAGATTCTTCAAATTTGTGGAGCATGAGGGATGCTTAGACCATAGATTTAAAAATCTTGGAAGACTAATTTAAAATCTTCCAAGACTAATTAGTCTTGGAAGACTAATTTAAGATTATCTGATCCTCAGAGCTCCTATTAAGAAAGGTACTAGAAAATGTGCATGGTAAACACTGAATCTATCATGAGTTATTGTTATTTCTTTTTCATTCTCAACATTGAAAATTTATATTACAGCAATACCTGAAGGCAAAGATCAGAAGTAGGTATAAACATATGAGACATCATGGCAAATGCAATAGGACTGCTGGAGGTTCATACTTATGCACATAATTCAGTGCTGCTGTGATTTAGGATCAGAACACACTCTAGAACCAGTTTTTCTCACATTCATTCTTTAAAGTATTTTTGCTTCATTCAAATAAAATGAGAAAACAGTGGCCACTGCAAAAATCTGAATGTTTGCCTAATATTTTTCAGTGTTAAACATTTGACTTCTAATGATTTCTACAGTAATATATAATTCATAATTTAATTCATTGTTTAAAAAAAAAAAGAAAAAAACTTCACTGCTGTCAATCTTTGGTTCCTTCCTCAAAAAGAAAAAAAAAAAAAGGAAGAGAGAACAATTCAAACCTTTGTCATTTGCAGGGTATGGGAATATTTGTCCATAATATTATTATTGGTAAATGTCAGATGTTGTTTACAGAGATAAAAGCATTAAGAACCAAGAATGGGATCATCATACTTTGCAATATAAATTTTTAAAGGTTAATGTTCATGATTAGCTCAGCTATACAATGCTAAGCACACAGTAAATTGCTTAATGCAGCTCACCATAAACGCCTTCAGTCTTTTGTTCTGAGCTTCCTAAATATTTACTTATTTGATTTCACAGTCATAAAATTTTCAGATATGTTGACATAGTTGAAAGATTATACATATTTTTCTAGTGCTCTTCATCCTATCAATAAAAGGAGAAAGTTAAATCAATCTGTAACAATGAATCACAATCAATTGTTAGGCATATTTGCAAAGAAACAGAAGTACACTTTCTTGAGAGTCAAGTTTAATTGCAATCTTATTTCATTTTCTCCTTTTTCTACTATTCTTTTTTTGCCAAAATTTCAATCTAAAACCCAGAAAATACTGTATATCTTACTACTTCTTATAAGGTGACAGAGGACAAAATAATATCACGTTTGTTATGAAAGAATGTAGGGAGGGAAAAGGAGGAGAAAAGAATCTTTTCATTTAACAATAGTCTAAATATCTGCAGTGCCCATCACCTCAAAATATCTTGATATATATATATAATTTGAATTCCAACTATATCATTCTGACAGTAGAGATGGTCTTCAGTTGGGAGCAAATGAATTCACTCATTGAAATGATCCTTTACATTAACAATACAGCAGAGAAAGAGGTCTTAACTGTATACGAGAGTATTTACTGAAAACTCATAAGGAAGTCAAAATGTACATAATAGACTATTAATTCCTTTCTTCTTTTTATATGCCATGGACTTGAAGAATGAGAGATTGGGTCTGACAACTAGCTGCTTAAAATAAACTATTTCATTTAAAACTCTGAAGAAGCAAATTCATTATTAAAATGATTTGTATGACTATAACCTTTTAGATTATATGGGGTTTAGATTTTTAAGCAAAGTTATATATATTATATATAATATCCTTGTATATTCAGCTGAGAAGGAAGGAGACAATGACTTCTTTTGCTACTTCTGATAGAAGATTATGTTTATTGCTGTTGATTGTTTTCAATATCAAATGATTTAACAGACCCTTTAAATCGCTTCTTAAAAAATCGGGCGTCAGTTTTTCTATCACCTATGATACCCTTCAGTTTTTGATTGTTAACCAACACTGGTTCAGATTTTTAAAATGTTACTTTTTCCTCATAATAGAAAAGAAGGAATCCACCCTTTATTAAAAATAAATGTCAACATGTTTACTAAACCACCTTAATGTCTTCTTTGGTGATTTGGGCACAAGATATATTATTTTTGTTCATATATTTTTTCCACTCCATGGGGCTAAGCACCGAAAAAAAGACAGGGAAAAGTGGATCTTAGTTGTTCCACTTACTAAATGAAATCCTGTGTAAGAGAGAGAAAACAGAAGGTACGATTCTTCTGTTTCCCTACAACAGCCAATAACGAAGAACCTTCATAGGGACTAACAAACTAAATCCCAGCCATAAAAGATGATTTTGATATTTCAACTTTGATGTTTCACCTTTGTAACAAGGTGAAACACTCAATAAAATTGAAAGAAATTTCTCTAGCAAAATGCAAAAAGCTTTTCTTCCAAAACTGTGATTCTTCCAACTGATTAGGGCTTTGAACAGGGGAAGGTTTTGTCCACCTTTTGCAACTGCACAATGGCTATCCCAAAGAGCCTGTCAGGTGTTTCCATCCCACCAACACTGCCCCACCCTTGATTATTAATGATGACGGCACCTGGGAGATTAATATATATTTCAGAACAATAATTTTCTATACCTAATTTTTTTTTTTACTATTTTTAGCTTTTCAGTAGAAAAAATCTTCTTGCATCCCTTAGGTAGTTTTCTTTTAAGAAGTGAGGCAATGTTTCCATAATTCATAACTGTTGTAGATAGTTTGGGAGTTTAGTTGTTGTTTTGGTTTTTTTTAATAGTTCTTCTTAGCACTTAAAAGAACGGACTTAAAAAGTCACCCAATAGTATTCTAAAGCTGTCTTTGTGCAAGAACTACTTGCATCAATGGAAAAAAACCCAAACAAACAAACAAAAAAACTCCCACAGAAATCTCCTGTCCTGGAGTTCATTCTAATGAGGAATGCAAAATGCTGGGGAAAGGAGGTGAGGAGGAGAAAGCTCCTGGAGTGATTTTGGTGATGGTGGTCTGATCTTTGTCTTTAACCTTTCCAGTATACTTCTTGGACTCAGCAAAGGAATAAATTCTGAAAGAACTTATTATGCACATGCAGCAGCAGAAATAAAGCATGCAATACTGCTGCCAGTCTTGTGCAAACCACAAGACCTACTGAGTTTGCACCACAGTACTGTGCACAAGGGCAGAATATCTGGCATTGTCTGGATTCTAAAAAAGCTGAATGCCTGGAGCTGCTAGATATAGGCTACTCCCACCTCTGGATAGGATTTGTATAACTAGAAAAGTTACTCCCCTTCTAAAGCTCCTAACCCATGGGACAAATAAAATAGAGAATGCTGAAAAATAAAGAATATTGAACAAAATTCCTCAGGAGTCTCCCTTACTTCCTGTTTGTGACTAACACTTCTAATATAAAAATTCAAGAAAACTGCTCTCCACCGCATTAACCTTCACAGATGGACTTGGAGAATACTATTTGACCTGAATTTTACATCCCAACTTTAATTCTTTCACTTTTGCAAGGTATGTCAACATTGAAATAAAACACAAGCAAATAAAGAAAAGCCAAAATGACGTATTGTGCCAAAATCCTCACTCAAAACAATATTAAATGTGAATTATCAAGTATATCTAACACTAAACCAAACTCTTTTATTAGGCACTTTAAAGAGTCATTGATTTATAATCATGAAATTTAAGCAGAGATCTGAGGATTATGTTCTATTATGCATTTGTTTCAAAAAATAGTAACCTTAGAGCTGCTTGTAATTTGGTAAATTAAACGCTATTTAGTATGGTTATCTATAAAGGTAAACAATACAGGTATTTAAGACATTTGTCATGAAAATATACACAGAACACACAGAAATTTAGAGACAGACCTCCTCATAGTAACAGTTTCTTTTCTCAGCAGATGGATGAAGCAGATGGAAGACCTGTGTTTTCTTCACACTTTTCCTACGATCACTAGTTACAGCAGTAATATCAATTCTACCCTGGAGATATATATGTGAAGCAATTT